TTTTTTTTTTTTTTTTTTTTTTTTGGGGGGGGGGGGGGGGGGGGTATTTAAGCGTATTGTGAAGAAAATTAATTCAATGCCTCACAATTTTATTAATATTATTGTCTTTTAATTTTTATCTGACACAAGTTGGAAATGAATCCCGGATGTTTTTGAGGCAAATAGACTATCTGATTATAGTAATTAATAGATTAATGAGAATGATAGAACATTGTTGTATTGTCTGTGATGTACTGCAGATGTTGGCAGAACTTGATAGGATTAACTCTCGTCAGAAAGGTTACAGAGCACCTCGCTTACTGCGGTTCATGGTAGCAGACCTTTATCTTAACAAATCTGATACAAATCTTGGTCTTAATGAAGTTAAGCTAGAACCTAATTCAAAGAAACGCATTACCCCTAATCATACCCAACATATAACATGCATCAGACTCAGCCGATAAAGACCCGCCCAGAACTCAATTTATCATACTCTGCGTGCATGTCAGCTGCACAATAAACTACACATAAGGGAGCAGTTATTATTGCTGTTTTACACACACGGGAGCAGTAATTATCCCTGCACCATTAGCATTTCACATCAAGTTTTTTCAACACAAATTCAGCATTGTTTTGCCGGTGAAATTATTGATCAGGAAACACAATAACACAATAACATTGTAATTTGTCTTTTTAATTTGTTATTATTCGCCGACTGAAGTTCTATTTAAATGTAATATGGTAATTAGCTAATTCTATTAATTTTGAGATCACAGATGCATTGGGCCTCATTAATCTAGCCATGCAGTCCAAGCTCTAATTATTTCCAATACCACTGTCATAAACTGTAATTATATGTATTGGAAACTGTTTTAACTCATTCACCCCTTAAGACACTTTTAAACTCATCCAATTCAAAGGCTAGAATAGTTCATTATGAAATTTCAGGGGTGAATGAGGTAATCCTTCCTCTCTTATTTTTGTCCCAATTCCACTGTCAAAACCTTTAACTCATTCACCCCTGAAGATGCATTTGAACTCTTCTAATTCAAAGGTTGGAATAGTTCATTATGAAAGTTCAGGGGTGAATGAGTTAATAATTTCTGAAAAGAAAAATATACCTTGCAGGACTTTTTGAGAAAATAGAATAAAGATCAAACAATCAAAATATAATCAATAACGGTGTTCTGATTGTAAAATTCCAGCATGGTTGGACCAGCATTCGAACCGTGGACTAATTAAGATTGTTGGTGTCATATTCTAACTGACTGAGCTGAAGTCAACAAAGTTTTCGGCCCAAATGTGCTATAGTTATATCCTGAACGAAATTAACTCATTCACCCCTGAAGACACATGTGAACTCTTCCAATTCAAAGGTTGGAATAGTTCATTATAAAATTCCAGGGGTGATACGAAAAACCAGAGTGCAGTGGGACAGTTAAGGTTCTTTAATCCAGCAGATGAAAGATTGTCCAGTTATTTTTACAATTCATTACCATGATATTACCAAAGCTCAACTTTAATATAAACATTTAAATAAAACATGATATTACCAAAGCTCAACTTTAATATAAACATTTAAATAAAACAATCATTAAACTCATTTTTAGATATTTTCAGCATGT